CGTTGACCCGACCCTTGACCGTTGACCCGTTGACCGTTGACGGATTGACCACTGTTGACCAAACTTTGACCGGCTTTGATCGGCATTAAACGACCTTTGACTTCGACCGAGTATACCTATCCTGATATTTTTCGACGTTCCAAATCCGATTCCGCTGTTTGTTTTTCGAAATTCGAACCCGAAGGTCTCGAAATTGCCGGTCAAACCCGTTCTGATTTTGACCGAAAATTCCCAAATTTCCGAAAAGTCATTTTATGCTTTCGACGTCCAGAATCCGAATCCGAAGTCCGTTTCGCCAAATTCGAACCCGGTAAGCCGTCTTTCACTGATTTATCACCCGATTCGATCCGTTTATCGTAATTAAGCTCCGTTTCTGATATAATTTATGTTGATATGTATCTGAGGAATTATTGGAAGTTGAATTAAAGATCAAAGGCATTCGAATGGATTTTTATGGTCGATCGATATTGCACGAAAATCGAGGTAATACTTACTACCTCTTTATGCTTTATAGAACATGTTGGTATTGGTAAATGCATGAATGAAAATGTTTGGTCTCATATGTGTAATTAATGAAGTTCTACACTCGATCTGAATACGGTAAAAAGGTTCAGTAATTGATTATGGTTCAGATGACTTTTATAAGAAATTAAGGGATTGCTAGAATTAAATTACAAGTTATGTGCTTAGTGGTAAAGAAATCACCTGGATCTGTAACTTGTAATTTATTTCATCAAAGGTTAAATGTTAAAGGCATTTGGATGTGAATTTATAAAAATACTCCGGTAGGGTAAAATTACGAAAATACCCTTGTGTTATAAAAGACAAGATTGGAATATGGAAGTTAGATAAGAGGATTTTACAGACATTGATCTGATAAAAATATTGATGTGCATAAGAAATGATAGTTATACGTAGACATTATGGATAACCGGTTTTTAACCCCAAGAGGGTTTATGCAATATATAGAAGTGTGTTAAGGGAATTATTTCAAGATCAGAGATTGTTCAAGAAAGCAATTAATCATAGGATCTTTAAATTATATTATTTTCGTTAAGAGCTAATATCGAACTTATCTGGTTAAGAAATTACGGAAATGCCCTTAAGGTAGAATAGTCTGAGATGACTCTGAATGAGAAAATACTTAGAGGATTCGTACTTAACTCGATTAAGTACGGATTTAATTGTTAAGATCCCGACTTAGTGCAGGAAAATTCATGATATTCCGTTTGTAAAATCTGAGAAGGCACTTGACCCGAAAATATCCGAGAAATGAGTAAATACCTGAAGAATAATTTATCGGGGTATTCTGCTGTCAGAATTATTCGAAAGGACTGAAACAAATAATGATATTGAATTAATAATAAGACCGAATGGAGGAAAAATATTGAAATACCGTGGATCTGTAAAATGACAAAAATACCCCTGTAATGGAAATGACTCAAGAATGTCACCAAGCTCAGGAATGATTGAATATCCTCGAGCTCTGAAATGAATGGAATAAAACTGAACATCAAAATTACCAAAATACCCTTATGGCCTAAATTTAGTAAATGTCTTGGATTAATTAAGGAATCCAAGTAAGCATATGTATTGGACTACCTTTAAAGGTAATGGGAAATAATTTAAGTGAGTAGATCAACCTAAAGCTATGTTAATACCTGAATGGCATAGATATTACTGGAATATGTGTTCGTCTTCTCAAGTTTGGCTCGATGACAAATTTTGGAAGTATTCAGTTCAGCTAAGATCTAGATCGTATTCAGTACTAAAATTGGACGTTTGTTCGACAAATCAACCACGAAGACCAAATTGAATGGAATGGAAGTACAACTATCTGAAATTCAGGAACGTTTAAATTATTCGGGAAAATCCCGAAGTAACTGGATTGGACTTGAATGTTAAATGAACTAAGTAACCTCAATGACTGAGGATTAAGTAAGAGATTGGAATAAGTTTGGAAACTCGGATGAACTTATATGATATCATCCCTATGGATTTTGAACCACAAATCAAGTACGTCAGCATTTCATGGTATAGTTGAAACATGGAAATAAAATAAAGACCATTAGAATATTTGCTTGTCTCCTTAAGATCTATTCAATGATGACTCAGATGATGATTTATGGATAAGATATTTGGTATTAAAGAGTAAATACCCTGAAAGGTTAATGAATTGACAAGTTGGTAAGTATTGGTTCTAGAAGCTATTCATCTGGAGTTATTCGATATTCGGATTAATCGTCATAGATTATAAAGATTTTGAATACCTTCAAATTTCGTAGAGCTTCAGAAAAGTGTTCGAATAAGATGATCCCGATGAATCATATCCTGAATAACTGATGATTTTGTCAGTTAACAAACTCTTCTAATAGTGATTCTAATTTCCGGCATTCTATTGGTAAAATGAAGATTTGCGTTTCTCTGCCCGATAAGATTATCCTGTATCTCTAAATAATATCTGGAAACTCTAGTGTGTTCCCTACTTATATGAATATTTTATCTGATTTCTGATTTGAATTCTGTTTTGACATCTGATCTGAAATCTGTTCCGATTCCTAAACTGGATTCTGTTATGATATCTGATCTGAATTATGTTTTGATTTTTGATATCTCCGTTTACCGACGGAGAAATGTTTTTAAATGGGGGTATTGTTGAAGGATAAGTTCCGCAGGTTCCTCGGCTTTGTGCTCGGGCCTTATATGTTGTGTTGGGTTGGGTGTATGGTTCTGGGGAACCTACACATTATTGTGTTGGGATGGGGGTATATATATATATATATATATATATGTTTTAAAAAGATCTGAAAAGTTACATAGTTTTTGGGAACACACTAGAAAACCTATTCTGATATCCTGAACCTAGACATCCAAATGTTTCCATCTGGAATGAATACTTTTGTTACTACCTGAAATATCCGTAGAATCTCTGCTCAGTATAAAGATCTGTAAATGTCTGAATCGATAAGGAAAAATATGTTTATTTGTATCTGCACGTTCTTCAGCATCATCTGGTAGTTCTGTATTACTGAGCTTTCCAAAGCTCACTCTATTACTCAAATTTTCAGGTTAAAAGAATTGTACCAGTGCATCTATTGACTTCAGTAAGGGAGTTCGTACGGCGTTGTTGCAGAGTATGGTACATGTGATTAGGGGGCATGTAATTGTATTTGATTTATACGAGTTTGGAAATCTGTTTTATTTTTAAATAGTGAAAACTGATTTTATAAGTTTACATGATCTGATAAAAAGTTTTAAATTTTCCGCTATTTTTACAGTGGGTCGCTTCGGTGGCCCTAATGTGACTTCCCGAATCGGATCGGGCTACCCGCATCGGTCTGGGGGGTTACACTACGGGCCAATGTTCTCATTTTCTTTCTTTTCTCTCTCTCTATAAACTCTTTTCCCATTGAGAAAACCGGCCATCGGCCAACAACTCTGATTCGCCGTCAAGGAATTTACAAATTTACCCAAAATGAAGTCTTATTTATCCTAAAGCTAGATCCTAGGTTGTTTTAGCCTAAAACACTACCCAACAGCGTAGATCAACAATTGTTTTACCTTCGATGCTTCGTTTCTGGTGATACGTGGAGGCTACAGTGAGTCTCTTTTCTTCTTTTTCTTCTCTTCGTTTGTTGTTTCTGTTGGTTGCCTTGTTTCGTGGTTGCTCCCGTTCTTGCTCTCGTTCGTCTTTGCTATTGTTTGGATTCTGTCTGTTGTTTTGTGTTTTTTTCTATTGCTGTCCGTGGTATTCTCTTTCGCAGGATCGGTGGCTTTTATAGCCACCATGATGCTGTTCTCGGACCAGTCACAAAGGGGGCTTTCGGTGAGTCACCAAACCTCTAGTGGTGACTCACAATAGGGTCTCGACGTGGGCGACCATCTGGCCTTCTGGAGGCTTCTGGCGAGGGTGGTGTGGCGCTTCTAGAGTCTTCAACGAAGTGGTGGCAGCAGCTGGTTGGGTCACCTGGCAGTGGAGCGTCGGCAGTGGCTGTGGATAGTTAAGGCGGCGGCGACGCTAGGGTTAGAAACCCTAGTATAAACCCTAAATGGGTTTAAGGTTTTCATTTAGTTTGGGCCGATTCTGGACTGGATCGGGCCTGTGTTGTAAACGGGCTTGTAATGTATTTGGACCTGCTTTATAATTTATAAACAATAATAATAATATATAATAATATATTATTATTAATAATAATAAAAGTAAAATGAAAAAATTAGTTGGATATAAGTTGGTGAATCTGCTCCTTTTTTTTTTGAACTTGACAAATTTCTTGGGAAAGGGAGATAGGATGTGTATTGGAGACTTTAGGGTTCTAGTGCCTGTTCAGATAGGCAACAGACTGAAGTAGCAATGGCAATGCGTGATCTGTATCACATTCATAGTATGGTGTTGTTAACTGATATTTCTCTAGTTGCCCCTGGTTTTGATTTTGATCTGCTTTAATTATATTGTTACACATTTGAAGAAACGTTGATCCTAGATGCTAAACGAATAAATCTGATATTTTACTTCTATGGCAATGATAGGCTTTACAGCTTGGACTGAGGCCGTAGAACCGCCTTTTATATGCTTTTTTGCCTACAAAGGAGTGAAGGACTGATTTTTAGTCAAAATGTGTTCTCATTTCTGATTCGGGTCATGCTCATAAATGATTTTTGGTCTTTTTTATTTATTTTATCTAGATATTATAGCATATGACTCTATAAAATTTCATGGTTCATAAAGAATGTAAGAAGCAAGTGCCAATAGGACTTGTTTAGTTGCGTTTTTACAGTTGCGTGTGAAATGTACATGGATTATAGAAGAGTACATACCTTGAACTACCAACTTTTTAAAAAACGCATGTAAATATGAGAGCTTTGAGCTTAGAGATATGCTAAGTTCCAACTCTGTTTTGTAAACCAACTTGAGTTTGTTCTTTGCTGGCTTGAGATTTATTTTTTTTCTTTATGTTTCACTTTCAAGTCATATTTAGGACTTATGTATGACAGGGTGGTGCAGGTACTTGGAGTGATGGAAAACTAGTTACTAGAATCGGAAGAAACAGTGGCTGTGTTTTGACGGTCAGACCTCTTCCTCTAGATTTCTCATTTTAATTGGCCTCCCCCCCCCCCCCAATTTTCTTTTAAGCTTTATTTCCAGATTTGTATTCTTAAATGCCTCTTTTTTTTTTGTTCTAGTACAGTTGCTTCCTTACGCCTGCGATGATTTGGTTTCCATGAGCAAGCTTGTGTGTATTTTCTAATTGATGTTCTTTTCTGACAAAGCCCATCTCCCAGTGCTGTGTTGGAGATACAATTTGACAGTTCTTATACTTATGTGCGTGCAAACAATTGCACTTGGGCACAATTGTGATTGAGTTTTGAACTTTGGAAATTTATGTTGAGTTACAGATATCAGTTGAAAGTATATGTGGCTATTTTTAAAATAAGCGCATATGGTCGATATAATCAAGGACTAATTGTTCAGATAAAAGAAGGGTTAAATGCTCTACCATGCATTAATTTGGTGTCTTTATTCCAAACATCAAAGTGAATGAGGAAAAAAGAACCATCATCATTTAACCTTTATCTTCTAAGTGCGTTACTGTCATTGTAATTTTAAGTCTTCTCATTTTATCGTGCATCAATTACTAAATAGACTAAATCAAACATTTTTGTTGCAGATCATGAACATTTTGGTTTAGTTTGGTGCTCCAGAAAGTATATTGGTTGATGGAAAGCCTCACTTGGGAACTGATAGGCTAGTTCCTTTACTCCGTAACTTCCGCCAACATCTTCAATCACTGGGTGTGAGTTTCATAATACCTTCTCTCCTTTCAAAATTATAGTTTATATCTGATAAAGTCCGTTTTCTTTATTGCATATTTGATTCTAATTTTGCTATTTTTCTTACATGTCTTAGGTGGAAATCAAGTTTGGAACAAGGGTAGATGATTTGCTCATACAGAATGGACATGTTGTGGGCGTGGAAGTCTGATTCAACAACTAAATTGCAATCAGATTGCAATAAGTTGGGATTTGATGCGGTTATTCTGGCAGTTGGGCATTCTGCACGAGATATATATCAAATGCTTCTTTCTCATAATGTGGATTTGGTTCCAAAAGATTTTTCTGTGAGTTCTTTGTTAATTTTTCAATTTTGCTTTGTTAGTATAGGATTGCCTGAAAGTTCGTTTTCCAGCATTTCCACTTGTTGTAACTTTACTAATGCTTCCTAGCATCAACAAACATTGGTTTCGGCTAGTATGATCCTAAAGGATCAAATCTACTGCTGTGAGCATCATTTCGATAACTGAACTATGTTGAACTTGCAGTGGCAAAAAAAAGATGAGTATGTTATATTGTGGATTTCAGAGAATTTTGGTGACTGAAAATGATACTTACTTGTGTATTCAAATGATTGATTACATCAGTATTTATAGCAACCTAACTCAGGAAAGCTGTAATATAAAATCCCTACAAATTTAGTAATCTGAATGCCTAAGAATCTGCCTTAGTCAAGCTGTCATCTGTCCATAATCAAGCTGTTAATTGCTCAACTTATATCTAGATCTGGGAAGTTTGAATTCAAAGGGTAGCTTGTTTTGTCATAAAGTAGGGCATTTGCATGGACCAGTCCCTTAGCCACTACCTTTTCTCATCTTTTACTTACCAATTTTATTTTACTTCTTTCAATTCACCAAATTATTTCCTATATAATTGCAGCATGTTCAAGTAGAAACTTAAAAAACCGTCTAAAGGTATTCTCATGTAAGTAAACACAGACATTAGCTATATGATGCATTTCTAAAACACAGTTCTCCTTACAGTTTTGGAAGAGTTGCTGGTTCTTTCAATTCACCAAATTATTTCCTATATAATTGCAGCATGTTCAAAGAAACTTAAAAAACCGTCCTAAAGGTATTCATGTAAGTAAACACAGACATTAGCTATGATGCATTTCTAAAACACAGTTCTCCTTACAGTTTTGGAAGAGTTGCTGGCTGTTATTTCTCTCTTCCAACCCTCAGTTGCTTAAAGACATTCTCACGTATTAAGCACAGACATTGAGATACACAAGCATGTTATGGCTGTTTATTTCTCTTTCTAACTATCAATTGCTTTTTTCCTTTTATTTTCTACCAAGTTTTGATGATGAATATGCAATTGGCACCACTGTCTAGTGGAAATTGTATAATTGATAATTTATGTTGTTATGTCACAGTGATACCAAGAGCTGGATTCTGTTCGTGTAAGTTATGAGTTTCTCTTTTTGACGTTGCAATATCATTAGAGAATAAAACTTGTAGGAATGCCTGAGTTTGAATGTTTCTTATTATTGATTGCCTCATAACTTTCTTATTGGAAAAGGTTGGTTTGCGGGTAGAGCATCCTCAGGAACTAATCAACACATACAGGTTGTTTACATATTGTTGCTCTAATTGTTTTCAGTAAATATTTTTTCCTCCGTGTTAATGTTACCAAGTTTAGGTATCTGCATAAATCATGTCATATCATATCTGATGGTGAAGATTAGTATTCTACCCCTGAAGTAGGGCGGTGTTGTGAATGAAATGGAACTGCTAGGTTCTTTATTCCTTTCTTTTTATCTATTATCTTTTGCATATTGTACTTCAGCTTTTAATGTGTGATCCGTTTTTCTAAGAATATGGAACTTAAACATACGCATAAAAAGGTTCTTACCATGTAGAATATTTGAGGTTCAGTTTTAGAGCCTTTTCAATATTACTGCTTCTATCATGCATCACATTTGTGTCTTCATTGTTCCTCAGTTTTTGGTAATCGTGATGATTTGTTGTGTTAGTTTTCCTTTAGTATGATTTTTGTTTTTGACTTGGAGAATAAAAGAAAGACTGAAAATGTGAGTTTTTATTGCCAACAAACCATTTCATAGTTTATTAATGAAGTTCTTAAAGAATGAATGCACATATGATTAAAATAAAACAGAAGTCTGTAACAATGAGAGACTTTTGTTTATAAAATTGTTACCATATTTCTGAAATCCTAACTATTCATGTGCCCAGTATTCTGCATTGGCCAATGAAGTTTGCCGAGGACGTGGGAAGGCACCAGTGGCAGATAATAAGTGGTACAGTATGTTAATGACAAGGATGAGAATTACCACTCAAGTCAGAATCTACAAGTCGTAGTTGTTATCTTTCTGCATGTCCCTGGTGAGCATTATGTTCTTCATTGTTTATCCAATTTTCAATGTACATTTTGTTATTTTTAACTCTCTAAGTGATGTGTTGTTGCATCTTATCTCAACTGAAAACCATTAGCCTGTACAATTGGTCAGCCTTGACTAATACCTCTATTTGAAAAGAAAACTCTTTCCTATATCTAATGACCGAAGGACGGTACATCTTTATTGTTTGCAACCAAGGCTAATAAGGAAAAAATATTTGCATAATCAATAAAATGTCTTAAAATCTGTCCTAAATCTAGTACCTGATAAAAGAATAAATCGGTGAATTAATTCATATAAATTGATGAATTAAATCCCTTCATTCAAGGGTTTTATTTCCCACAATCTTGTATAATCATTGCATCTTTCGTCTTATATTTATTTCATAACCCTTGATGGTCATTTGCATAATAAGAACATTTGAACTTTCTGATTGTAAATTTTGCAAAATGGTATACTGTATAATACCTCATGTGTTATTGAATAGAAATGTTACAAATATATATATTTTCTAATATAACTAACTAATTGATAATTAGTTACAACTGCAAAACAGAAATAACAAACTTAACTTCTTAACACTCCCCTCAAGTTGGTGGGTAGAAGATATCCTTTACCCCCAACTTAGATACAAGATATTCATGTGTTGTACTCCTAAAGCTTTAGTGAAAATGTCCGCTAATTGTTCTGAAGAAGACACAAATTCTGTCTTGATGAGCCCTTCTTGTATTTTTTCCCTTACAAAGTGATAATCTATTTCTATGTGCTTCGTGCGCTTATGATAAACTGGATTGTAGCAATCTGAAGGGCAGCCTTGTTATCACAATACAACCTGACTGGGTATTTTCTTTCTAGTCCAAGTTCATTGGCTAAACCATTTAACCATGTCAACTCTGCTGTCGTATCTGCCATGCTTCTGTATTTTGCTTCAGCAGATGATCTGGCTATAACATTCTGCTTCTTAGATTTCCACGAAACCAATGAACTTCCAAGCTTAATGCAAAAACCAAAAATATACCTTCTTGAAATAGGGCATGCAGCCCAATCTGAGTCAAAATATGCTTTAAGTTCACAACTGCTGTTGAGTCCATCAAAATCCCTTGACCAGGATTCTTTTTTATGTACCTCACTATCCTCAAACGCATAACATAAATTAGACTCCTTAGGTTGTTGCATAAACTGGCTCAAGTAATGTACAACAAAGTTATATCAGGCATGGTATGTGTGAGGTAAATGAGTCTTCCAATGAGCCTTTGAAAAACACTCTTATCAACTAACAACTCATCGTTTTCATTACTCCCTTTCATGCACAGCTCATCATACTCTGTTGTAGCGAGCTTAACATTTCGTTCAAGAGGAGTTCTTGCAGGTTTGAACCACATTCATGATTCCTCAATTAATTCAAGAGCATATTTGCATTGGTTAACTAAGATTCCTTCTTTTAACCTCATAACTTCAAGCCCAAAAAAATACTTCAACTCACCAAGATCTTTCATCTTAAACTTTTTGTTAAAAAACTCTTCAAGTCATTAACATAAATCAACAAAACTACATATTCTTATCCTTCTCATCGTGAACAAAGAATAGTCAAATTTACTATGTTCATAACCAGCCCCTAAAAGAGCCTCAGTCAGCTTAAATTCCATTGCCTAGATGCTTGTTTCAAGCCATAAAGGGATTTTTGCAGTCTACATTCCTATTCTCCCCCTGACTGCAAAAAACCAGGAGGAAGTTCCATATATACCTCCTCAAACAAATCACATTGTAAAAAGCATTATACACATCAAGCTGGAACAGAGGCCAATCAAAACAGAAGCAATAGCAAGGAGAAAACGAACAGTAACCAATTTAACCACTGGTGAGAAAGTATCCATAATCCACACCCTTTCTGACTATATCCCTTGGCCACCAAGCGAACTTTATATCTTTCTATGTACCAGCAACATTTTATTTAATCCGATAAACCCATTACAACCAATGGGAATTTTGCCAGAAGGTAAAGAAACAACTGACTAGGTTTTTGTTTCAAGAGCAAGAATTTCATTCTTCATGGCTTGTACCCATTCAGGATGTTGAATGGCCTCATGATAAGACTTAGGTTCAATGGAATTCGAAATAAAAGAAACACAGGATTGAGTACCACAAGGAAGATGATTATAAGAAATGAAATTGAAATGGGATAAGTGGAGGTGGAAACATAAGTGCAAATAAAATCAGATAACCATTGAGGTTGCTTAGGAACCCTAGTATATTTTATAACGGACTGGAGCTACTGGAACCACATGACTTTCTAACTGTTGCGATGATTGCCCAAGTTCAGTACTGGAAGGAGAAACAAGTGGTGTAGTAGGAACAGGTTGCTGACCAAAGAAAGGTCTAAAAACTCAAATCAGGAATAGAATGAGTAGAAGGAAAAAAGGAATTTGTTTGGACAGGAAAGTGAAAAGGAAACACTAGTTCATGAAAAATAGCATCTCTATTGACAAAGAACTTCTTAGAAGTAAGATCAATAAGAGATAACCTTTTTGAGTGTTTGAATAACCCATGAAAACATAAGGGAAGGCTCTAGGAGAAAATTATCAACTAGTTTAGGAACAGTAGCATAAACAACCAAACACTCTCAAAATAGACATGTCAGGGACTTTGTGATAAACAAGTTCATAAGGAGTATTCCATTGTAAAACAGAGGAAGGGAGTCTGTTTATAATGAAACAAGTTGTTAATACACATTCACCCCAGAATTTAATAGGTACTTTGACTGAAAACGTAAAGCCCTAGCTACCTCTAAGAAATGTCTATGTTTTCTTTCTACAACTCCATTTTGCTGTGGAGTCTGAACACATGAACTTTGGTGCAAAATTCCAAGAGAAGAAAAATGGAGAGCAATGAGAATTAAAAATTTTGTACCATTGTCACTTCTGATAATTTTAGTGACAGAAGAAAATTGAGTGGAGGTAAATGAAGAAACTGTTTAAGAAAAAAATAGCATCATTTTTTGCCCTCAAGAGATAACCCAAGTCATTCTTGTGCAATCATCAATCACGGTCAAGAATACCTATGACCACTATGGGTAGATATCTATAAGACCCCATAAATCGATATGAATTAGTTCAAAAGATGTTGAATCTAGTAGAACTAAGAGGAAATGGCAACCTAGTTTGTTTTGGTAAAGGACAAACATTGCAAGAATGAACAGAATTTTCATAAAACTTGTCAGAAATACAAGAAGAAAGCTTTTTCATAGCAGAAGCAGAGGCATGTCCAAACCTAGCATGCCAAAGACTTGTTTTATTATTAACAGAAATATTATACAAAATGATCAGAAGAAATATCCCTAGTACTAGCCAAAGAATTAGAAATCAAACCAGTAGCTCATTTAGACTCAAAATGTAAAGGCCATTAAACCGTACCAATCCCCTTGATCATGCCATTGCAAAGATCCTGCAAGATACAAATGTCAGGATAAAAGGAAATGATACAGGCATGATCTTTAGCAAGCTGAGAGACAGAGATCAAATTATGAGAAGCTTGGAACAAACAAGACGTTGGAGAGAACAAGTTCAGAATTTAACCTATGAGACCCTACATGAGTTACAATTTCAGTATGACCATTAGGCAAATGAACAAAACGATGAGCAGAACAAAAACAGGAAATTGCAAGCCCTTGAAAACAGATAAATGTGATAAGTTGCACCAGTATCAATTCAACAAACACAAGAATTACTGGAAGCAGGTAAATTACAAGCAACAGTACCTGCAAGATTCACACTGGAATCTAAGGGTTGACTTTTGCTCAACAAATTCAATATTTGATGGTATTGTTCAGAGGTGAAAGAAGGTACTGCTGAAACAGTAGGAGAAACCATCAAGGCATTCGCGTTTCTTCATCAACAGCATGAACAGAGTTTACTACCGTAGCCGGAGGAACCTTTTTCTATTGAATTTAAAGTCCGTGGAAAGCCAATAAGTCGTAACAACGATCGCGGTTGTGGCCCTTGATTTTACAGTAACACATGTTCCACTAAAACGCCTTCTTTTTACCTTTGGAAGTTGTGAACATCACAGAGGTTCAACGAGCGAGGCAGAAAGTTGAGCACGATGCAACTCCTCCTGACGATCATAGAGTAGGCTTGATTGACAGTGGGGAGAGGCTTCACGATGAGAATTTGATTACGGAGTGTATAATAGGTTTCGTTAAGGCCCATCAAAAACTGGAACAAGCGTTGTTGAGCCACATGAACCGAGTTCTGCTGGGCAGCATCGCAGTCACAAAACAGAAATGGAACCAGCAGTGTATTCTTCCCACAAAAGTTTGAGACGAGTGAAATAAATAGACATATGATTCTCCCTGAACAAGTGTTGCAATCGAGCGATGTAGAAAAAAATCCTAGAGCCATCGATTTTATCGAATCGCTCTTTGAGGTCTTTTCCAAATGGCTTCGACATTTGAAGCAAAGACTATTCCATCGGAGAGATTCGGACTTACCGAGTTCATAATCCATGAGAGAACGAGAGCATTGCAGCGCTTCCATTGAGACTGCATGACATCGACAAAGTCGTCCCTTCGACAGCTTCCGTCTACAAAACCAAGTTTGTTCTTGGCCAGAAGCGCGATGCGCATTGACCTGCTCCACAGGCTGTAGTTCTCGACACCGGTGAGCTGTTGCGAGACTAGCTGAACCCCCGGTATCCGAAGGATGCAGAAAGAGAGGGTGGGTTGAATCAATTGAGAGAGCCATTAGCCCTAAGAGAAGATAATTTGGGGGAAGAACGTAATTGGAACTACTGCAAGAGACGGGCCACAGAAAACTTAGCGAGAGATGGGCCAAACATGAAACCCAAGCAAGGACGACCTGGAGACTGATACCATGTTAAATTTTGCAAAATGGTATACTGTATAATACCTCATGTGTTATTGAATAGAAATGTTACAAATATATATACATTTCTAATCTAACTAACTAACTGATAATTAGTTACAAAACAGAAAATAACAAACTTAACTTCTTAACACTGATTATCTATTTTCCTGGAGTGTCTGGTCAAATCAGTTAAATTTATGCCAGTAGTATCAGCATGATCTAATTAGAATACTAGATAGGTTTCATTTGTAGGCAGTACGAGTTAGGATGTCATCATAAGTATTAGAAACATCTCTGGAGTATCCACTGGTAAATCACTTATATTTTGAGTTTCAGGTTGTTCTCACTAGTACAAGTCCATCAGAGATCTGTATCAATGGAATGTCTTTTTCTCGCCGTTCATCCAAGTGGGCAAATGCTGCCCTTGTTGTGACTGTTTCGACAAATTTTGATGCATTGAATTTCCATGGACCTCTTGCTGGGGTTGAATTTCAGGTAGCCTTTCTGTTCTTACCTTTGTTCTTTGAAGGAATCAGGTAGACTTACAAAAGGGTTAAAAGATCCCTGTAGAGAATTTTATTCATCCACAGATGACAGAGTACAATAACTCCATAATCTCTGTTGAGTTACCTTTCACCTGCTTGTAGTGTATGCAATTTCCAAAAAAAAATGTGGTACAAATATTGAGGTTTTATTAAATTTCTTTAAATCAGTTCTATTGTTTCATTATTCAGAGGGAATTCGAGCGAAGGGCAGCTATAATGGGAGGGGGAAATTTGATAGTCCCTGTGCACAGACTGTTACTTTTTTTATGGAAAGTAAAATATCAGGTAATATTTTTCCTTGTTGATTCCACGTTTCTTTTGCTTTTACTTTTCATCTAGCTTAGACTTGCCTTGTTTTATCAGTAACATCCATGCCGCCATCAAGCTACCGCCTAGGAGTGAAGGTAGCCAATCTCCATGAATTTTTCCCAATTTATGACAGATGCTTTACGCTATTCTATTTCGACGTTTGACAAAGAGGTCTTTATATTTCCCCAATAATATTCACCTTATATTTTCCATTCTTTTAATAATATCCAAACTGAACTTAAAAAGCTTCTCTTTTTCTCCAACCTATGGAACTTTCAGCTACCTGAATTTTCTTAAAGGAGGCTCTTCTTCACGGGTTTGAGGTAAGCAATTTTCTACTTCTACACTTTCTGTTTCATCTCTATCTATTTGTTTTTTTATCTTATGAAACCACACTTCTCTTTTATGATTGGTATTTTTTTTAGTGCGTTTGTTATCAGATTGGGTTTGCCTCTAATACTTCTCAAGTTCATTTTTAACTTTTTATATGTTATTTTGTAAATGGATTATGGTTTATGACGTAATAATAGAACTTGGGTTCAATCCCTAGCATCCCTACCCCTACCCTCAATTATTGAAAAAAAAACAGGATGTGTGTTTGTACTCCAAACTTTATCTCTCCAGCTCGTATATGCTCATTTTACATGGAATTTGACATGTTATTTAGGGTATTAATTTTCTTTTCCACTATTCTATAAAATCTCCATTCTTTCTTTCAGACTAGAAACTAGCTCTCCCATTCAGATTCGTGACAGTGACACTTACCCAGTTGGTGAAGGAGCAGGTTATGCTGGTGGGGTTGTAAGTGCAGCAGTTGATGGCATGTATACTGGTTTCTCTGTGGCAAAACAATTTAATTTGTTTCAAGGTGACATCGAGTCAGTTTTAGGAAAGGCTCAGAGTGCTGGAATGGTGAAGTACTAGAAGGGGTTTCGCACTTGTATGACTAAATGACTTTGCACGAGTACATGCTCCTTTTGGAGTACATGATGACTTCAAATGCAACTCCAGTTTTACTTCAGAAGATGTAAGCAGTATTTACTATACCTTTTGATTAAGGACATAAACTAGTTTCTTATTGTTTACCCTTCTCTCATTTTTTGTTTACCCGGAAACAGGTACACTTCTTGAGCATATGAGCTAGTATTACATTCATCAACAAGAGATGTTTAAGCACTTGGGCTGGAAATAGTTCTTATTATTTACCCTTATCAGTGCAACATAGAATGCAGATAGATGGAAGGGTAAGATTCTCCATGTAAATCTTTCCAAGTGTATGGAAGTTTTAGTTTTGAGTTTCATTCGGTCTGAAACTGATGTGCCTTTTATTCTTGTTGGTCTTGAGCCTGTCGAACGGTTTTTTATTTTTTTTCCGGAATTCTCTTTAAAAACTCGAAGGTGGCCATGGCAGAGCAAATAGAAGTCTGTAGCTGCTAAACTAACCCAAGACATTCTTTGTTTTCTATTTTCTTAGTTAGAGGCCATTGATGGAAGCAAAAATACAAGGAAATTCTTAGTCATGCAGGTTATATAGATTACTGTACGTCCCAACTTCCTCAATAAATTCGAGCTGTATGTTCGCTATAGCATTTGACATTTTGCTATTGCACGTTTATGCAAATCTACGAATATGTGTTGATATTTGTGTTAAATGATACAGGTACGAGTATACTTTTTGAATATTTTATTTTTTAGAAAAATTAAGCTATTTATCGTCCATGTCGAAACAAATACTAATAATCATTAAGCATATTTCTTGTCACATAAATAACTGCAACACAAGAGAAGAAATTTCGTATTTTTTTATAACAAAACATTTTATACTTTTAACTATAAATAATCAGATCAAAATAAAAACAAAATGTATAGGTGAAATTGTATTAAATCAATCTTTTACAATTTACTATGTCATTTATAGTGACAACGTTTTCTTAAACAATATTATAAAATATAAAATGTCTCAAAATAAAAACATTTTATACGTTTTCTTAAAGAGAACAGAAAAGATAAAATATTTAAAAATAATGGTTTAATATAAAAATAAGTGCTTAAACAATGTCTCAAAAAAATGTTTTGGTACTCAAAGAAATTTTTGTTAAAAATAGGTGTTTAACGTTTTCTCAGTTACACTTTTATGTGTCTACCGTTATATTTTTTAATTTTTTAATTTTTTGAATAATACAAATATTTTAAAAACCTTAATTTATTTATAAAAATGTCCAAACTTTTAATGAAATTATTTAAAAAAAAACTAAAATATCTCATTTCAATCACATTACCAACCGTCATCGGTCATCTTCGGCCACCAACATCGTTGAAAACTTGGGTTTTGATTGGAATTGCGTTGTGGTTCGAATGGTGGTGGCGGTGTGACTTATGGACATCGCGATTGACCGAAATAGACGAAAATCAGTGATGAGATCTTAAAATCCGACAAACCTTTGAACACTTCTCTACGGCAAACGGTGACACTGTACGATGAACTGTGAATGTTGTTTTTTTTAATAAAATATATTTTTATTTTTTAAAATGAATTCTCAAAATTATTAGAATGTAACACATGTTAATTAACAATCAAATTTAACGGCCGTTACGGTCCAGGCACTTAAAAATCTCCGATAAAAACGTTAGACTCTTATTGTTAATAAAAATTTATTTAGACACTAAAAGTTTTTCGAGATAAAATTTAGACAATTATTTATATATTAAGCCAAAAATAATTAATAAGCTACTGAAAAATAAAAGCAAACTAATGGAAGAATCGTTTATATTTTTGCAGTAAGAATCATATTTAATTGAGAATTGATCAAATTTGAACGTAATCTTTTAAAAATAAGACCAAAAAAATGTGAAATATTTTTCAGAAAGCTTCTAACAAGAAAACTCTAAGGTAGCGTTTAGTTCGCTGAAATATTTATGGGGAATTGGAATCTGTGAAAGAATTGAAATATGTAGGAATTGGAATCCAATTCCATATTATGTTTGGTTGGCAGTAAATGGAATTGGAATCCAATTCTATATTCTGTTTAGTTTGCAGACATGTCAGAAGAATTTGATTTCAGTAATGTAAAATGACAGAATTGCCCTTCTTATTTTTTTGCTTTTTTAGTTTATTATACAACTTACATGTAGTAATATATTATAAAAAATTAAAAAATATTAAATTTTCATTTTATTGATTGATTATTCATTTCAATAAATTATAAAATCATGCTAATAAACATTATAAGTTAAAATCATCGCAATCAAAATGTTAATAAGTTACCAAAAGATAGAGTAATATTTCGATACATTCCAATCGAATTATGTTAATTAGTTATCAAAAAATATACCAAAAACTATTTTTATTCAATATATGAATTAGAAACTCGACCCGACACGACTCAAAATAATAAAACATTATTTTTATTCAATAAAAACATTGACTTAATTGAAAAAATTATATATAGAGGGGTATTATTGTGATTATTCCTAAATATATAAGGTAAAATTATATTTTTTCGGTCGGTCCGGGTTTTTTCACCCTAAACCCGAACCCGACCCGAATATCACACTTAGAAAAACCCAACCGACTCGACCCGAATATCACACTTAAAAAATCCGACCCGACCCGAACAAAATAAAGTTTCATCCGACCCGACCCGAATTATATATATTTTCGGGTCGGTCCGATTTTTTCACCCTAAACCCGACTGACCCGAATATCACACTTAAAAAACCCGACCCGACTCGACCCGAATATTACACTTAAAAACCCGACCCGAACAAAATAAAGTTTCATCCGACCCGACCCGAATATATGAATTAGAAATCCGACCAGACCCGAAATAATAAAAATTATTTTATTTAATAAAAACAGTGACTTAATCCGACCCAACTTAAATTATATATTTTCAGGTCGGTCCGATTTTTTTCACCCCGACCCCGACCCGAATATCACACTTAAAAAAACCCGATCCGATCCGACTAAAATAAAGTTTCATCCGACCCGACCCGACCTGAATATATGAATTAGAAATCGACCCTACCCGAAATAATAAAAAATATTTTTATTCAATATATGAATAATTATTAAATAATTGATGAGGGTAGTATGGTCAAATTTCAATTTTCTCAAATAAAAGAATTAAATTTTATCTATTTTTTTTTTATAAAATTCATTTTCCCTAGTTTGATGGAATTTAATTCAATGTGATTTTGAAAAACTTGAACCCAAACATAAAAAAAAATGATAAAATTATATTTAAATTCCCAAAAAAAAAAAAAAAAAAAACCACCTAAGAGATAAGAGCAGCCATTGTGCCTCCCATTGCTACTTTCTTCTTCTCAAAGTTTCAGCTTCATTGGAAACGAAAGAGAAAAAGGAACAATTTGAAGTTCTCTCAATGTTTGAACTTCAAGTTTGTTCATAGAGGCTCTTCACATTGTTCTCTCACCAGGTAACTCTAATTCTACTTCCAAACCTCCTTTAGATCTATCCGTTTTTCATACATAATTTCTTCATTGTTGCATTCACTGCTAGATTTTTGCTATTCCCATTGTTTACTCAAAACCCTCATCGAAATTCACCTAAATCTTTACTGATAAATTCATTCTCATTCTGGGTTTTCCCGGATCTCATAAGACTCGGATCAATGGGCAATTTTGGGATCTGGGTATTAACAATTTGCTTGATATTTCAATCTGGATATGGGTTTTACTTGCCTGGTAGTTACCCTCAAACATGTAGTTGGGAACTATTTATCTGTCAAAGTGAATTCCCTAACTTCCATTGACACTGAAATGCCTTCAGCTATTACAGTTTACCCTTTTGTAAGCCTTTAAAGGGTGTTAAGGATAGTGCTGAGAATCTCGGTGAGCTTCTCATGGGAGATCGGATCGAGAACTCGCCATATAAGTTTAGGATGTACACTAACGAATCTGATATCTTCTTGTGTCAAACTGGTAAGCTGTCTTCTGATGATTTAAGTTGTTGACGAAGAGGATTGATGAGAGTATCAAGTTAACTTGATTCTCGATAATTTGCCTGCGATAAGGTATACTATGAAAGAGGGTTTATGTTGAGGTGGACAGGGTATCCGATCGGTGTTAAGATTCAGGATGTGTATTATTTGTTTAATCATTTGAAATTTAAGGTGCTCATCATAAGTACGAGGAACCGGATGTGGCACGTGTTATGGGGGCTGGGGATGGCGTGGAGGCTATCCCCACTGTCAGCAATAAGGGATCAGATGTTCCTGGTTATATGGTCGTTGGGTTTGAGATGGTTCCTTGCAGTTTCAAGCATGATGGCAATTGGTTAAGAACTTGAAAATGTATGAAAAATATCCATCTCCGATTAAGTGTGAGCCGACTACTGTGTCAATGGCCATTAAGGAAGGAGAGCCAATTGTCTTCACTTATGAAGTTATTTTTGAGGAGAGTGATATCAAGTGGCTATCTCGTTGGGATGCTTATTTGAAGATGGAGGGAGCCAAAGTCCATTGGTTCTCGATCTTGAATTCTCTTATGGTGATCACTTTTCTTGCTGGTATAGTCCTTGTGATCTTCCTAAGGACTGTTAGGCGGGATCTGACCCGGTACGAGGAGCTTGATAAAGAGGCCCAAGCAATGGTGAACGAGGAGTTATCTGGGTGGAAGCTAGTTGTTTTTTTTTTATAGAAGTTAGGCCTCATTAAAACCCCCTTCATATCCTTAATGTTATATCTGGGTGGAAGCTAGTTGTTGGAGATGTTTTCCGTGCCCCATCAAATCCTACCCTTTTGTGTATTATGGCTGGGGATGGAGTTCAGATCTTTGGGATGGCAATTGTGACAATATTGTTTGCTGCTTTTGGATTTATGTCACCTGCATCCCGTGGAACTCTTATTACTGGTATGCTATTTTTCTACATGATTCTCGGTACTGTGGCAGGCTATGTTGCTGTTCGCCTTTGGAGAACAGTTGGCTTCGGCAATCACAAAGGATGGGTTTCTGTTGCATGGAAGGCTGCTTGTTTTTTCCCTGGTATTGCCTTTTCAATCCTAACTATTTTGAATTTCCTGTTGTGGGGAAGTCACAGCACAGGAGCTATTCCGTTTTCTCTCTATGTTATTCTACTTTTACTTTGGTTCTGTATCTCGGTTCCTCTCACCCTAATTGGTGGATACTTTGGGGCTAAGGCACCTCATATCGAATACCCTGTTCGAACCAACCAGATCCCCCGGGAAATTCCAGCTCAAAAATACCCATCTTGGCTGTTAGTTCTTGGTGCCGGGACTCTACCTTTCGGTACCCTTTTCATCGAGCTTTTCTTCATCATGTCTAGCATCTGGATGGGACAAGTTTACTACGTCTTTGGGTTTCTGTTCATTGTTCTGATCTTACTCGTGGTGGTTTGCGCCGAAGTATCTTTGGTGTTAACTTACATGCATCTCTGCGTGGAGGACTGGAAATGGTGGTGGAAATCGTTCTTTGCGTCCGGCTCAGTTGCCATCTACATCTTCTTCTACTCTGTAAACTATCTCATATTCGATCTTAAGAGCCTGAGTGGACCTGTCTCTGCTACTCTGTACTGGGGTATTCTCTCTTCATGGTTCTTGCGATTATGTTCGCAACCGGAACTGTCGGATTCCTTTCTTCTTTCTGGTTCGTTCATTATTTATTCTCTTCGGTAAAGCTGGATTGAAGAAGCTTCCTCCAAACACAGAAAAAATGGCATGTTGAAGAGGTAATTGGGCAGTGAAGAGTCTATTGAGAAAAGATTTCATTAGTGTGTCATTTGTTACCTTGAGCTTTACTTTCTTAGGAAAAATTTAAAAGTAAAATGTGATGGTACCAGTTTTGCTTAATTCTTTATTATATTTGTGTTCTGATTGTGTTGGCATTTGGCTTGTATCTGTAAACTTAGTTCTGGTAATTATTATATTTTATCACAACTATTGCATTGACAATATTGAGAAATACTCATTAGGGGAAAGGAATTCAAATGGGATGACTTGCTACTCATCCATATTTTGTTTAATATACTCAAATTATCCCATTTGTCAGCCAGTGTATTGCTTCATATATATCACAGTCAAAATGAGTAGTGGCAGAATTATGAAGAGACCCATGAGTATCGTATTGTGGTCTCCCTCTTTAAGATAATTATAAAAATTTTCTTAATATATATTAATCACCATAAATTTTAAAATAAATGATTAAATATCATGATGATGAGATAATTGAAAGCTAAGATTGCAACATGGGAATCAGCTACAACCAAATGGGGAAAATACTATATGTAAATTAAATAACACTATATCTCCATGTTATAGTCAATGACGATCCATAGTTTGATTTTGAGTTTAATTTGGATTTTGGGTTGATTCCAGATTCATTTCGACATTTTTTTAATTCTGATCGTTGTCCTTCCTTTTTTTTATGTTTTTAATTTTTTAACAATATTTTTTTGAACAATTTATACTCGAAAAAAGAAATATTTTACTCTTAATGAATATTGAACTTATAATCTAGAAAATAAAAAAATATGAAATTAAAACTTTTAACCACTTATTTTATTAGTGTTAACAATTTTCTATCAAACTTTCTGATAAATAATAAAAATGGTAATATTATAATTTATGTAGGACCCAAAAAATGTGAATTTCTTCTAGAATTAAATAGAATTTAAACATTGGCCCCACCGGTGTTACGATCTTAGTCAATGACTTGAACATCACAATTAATAATTGAACTGAAACGGGTGTCCATTGTTTTGGCTGAAACTGAGAAACGTGTAGCTAAATGTGGTCCATATTTAATATTTGCATTTAGCTTCATTTATGGTTGGAATACTAAGCTTAGATTAATATTTCTTTTATATAATTATCGATATTAATTTAGTGATTGATTAATTTAATTCGATACGATATGAGTTTATAGAAGTGATTTTAATAATTTATTTTATTTTATTTATAATATTAAAATTAAAATTATAAATATTTTTATAAAATTTAACGTCTCGTGTAATTGATACATTAATCGTATCTTCAATATGCAACTTATTATTCAATACTTTTAAAATTATTTGATGTAAATTATTTTTATTTACAAAAACAAACCAATATGTATTTCTTTATGTACACTTTAATGTTATAATAATAACAATTATAATTGAATTAAGATTTAATTAATATATATACATATATAAAAATTAATTGATAACATACATTTTTTTTATTCCAACTAATGAGAAAAATAATAGAAAGAAAAGAAACACCCTTCAACTTTAGAAGACAGGTCATCTATAGTGATTAAGTTGTATCTTTTGTATATGTCATAGATGTTATCTACCAACTAATGTTAAAGAAATTTTAAATTTTTTATGAATATTTAAACTCATCAAATTACTTTAGTAATAAAAAAGAAATAATATACTCTCTAGAAGTCTTAAGTTTAAATATTTGTGTATGTAGAGTATATGTATATTATTAATAGATTAAATTTTTTTTAAACATATATTAAATAGTAATCATCTCATACTAATAAAAAAATTAGTATTTAAGAATATTTTTAACTTTTATTACTTAAAAAATTATAATAATGATGTATTGTTTAATCATACAACTTGACTTTTATGGGGGATTTTGTTTATTTTTAATGTACACTTGAAAATGGAGTAAGACAGCGAAACGAAAGAGAGATATAACGAAAAGTATGGTTCAAGTTGCGTCGCTTGGATAACTATGTCTTAATATACAATTAAAAAATATGTTATTAATTTTATTTTTTAATAAAATCGATAAAAAATTATCTAAAACATTATTTTTCTATCGGTTTTGTTATTATTGGTCATTTTACCGGTTTTGTTAACATATTCGATAAAGTGCTATCTAAAATATTTTTTCCAGTTTTGTAATTATTAGACACTTTATCGGAAATATTAAAAACATTAATGTTTTATGTAGAAATAATAATATTTTAAGTATTTTTTTTACTGATTTTATTAAAGAAATAATAACAAAACCGATAACGTTTTTCCTTAGCCGTATATTAAGGTTGTCGCACGATAAAACTTTCCATCTCTACGTATATATAACATATATCATTCTTTTAACATAATATATATAATGATTAAATTTTTTGAACGAATATTATTTATAATTATTCTATACTAATAAAGGATATATATTGTAAGTAAATTTGACTTTAGCTCAATTAAATAATTATTAAAAACATAACTTAATAATTGAACATAGAATCAATTGATTCAAATCTATCATTCTATTCATTGAAAAGTTTATAATGTTAAGGATCAAGAAAATAATTTTATCAAATTAAAGGCCTTAAGAGCATTTTTCCATCCTATTAGTTGAAAACTATAAAAATTTAAGGGCCAAGGAATATTTTACAACTTCAAGTAGGACAAATCGCCCAGTGGCCTCCCTGAATAATTTGTTTTAAAAAATTATTAAAATTGAAAATATTATGAGAAAAAAAAAGAAAATATTAAACATATAAGGAATAAAAATTGAATATTAAGAATATAATCTAAAATCTAATATTAATCTAGATTAGAATAATATTTATTAACAGTATATAATATATTTAATTGATAATATTCGTTTTATATATATAATAAGGATGAATGTAAGATTTTATATAATAGACGTGAATATAAAAAATTATATTAAAAGTTTAAGATGTAAAGCTATAAAATTTAGAAAATATAAATAATATATATATATATATAATTTAATAAAGTTTAGACTAGTGAAATCCAGACAAAATTTAAAGAGAATGGAATCAAAGATGAAACAAATAGATAGGGGCAAAATCCTTAAAAACAAAGCACCAAAACTCAGCCTAGTGGAAAACAAACAGCTCAAAAGCAAAGGAAAATCAATATGAAGATTCAATCTGATTCTGCCAAATTCACTCACTTCTACCCATATCCCACTTTTACAAATCATTCACAACATTTGAATCATATGCTGCATATTTTTTGAGATTCTATTCGAGAATGGTATTACCAGAATAGTAAAACTTTTATTATTAATAAATATTGTTATAAATCAAAGACATTACCATTAATTATCATAAATAATAATAATAAAAGAAAAAAAATAATATAACTATTGTGTCATGATAAAATTTATTGTCTTAAAATAATCTCGTCTGAATCAGTCTAATCCCGAAAATTGTAAGAAATAGAACTCGTTTGATTTTATTCTTTTCGAAAACAAAATAGAAATAAAGAAATTATATAAAAAAAGTTTTTGTTATATAAAATAATGAGTTAGAGCTTAAAATTTTTTAAGGTAAAACGTAACAAATCAATAAATATGACGAAGACGATGATCTTATAAGTCTCAATTATCTCTCCAATATCTACTTAATATAGAAACAAATCTTATTTAAAATCTTATAAGTTTTTTCGTTTTTATTTACATTAGCCAACATTTATCACTCTATCGATAGTTTAATCAACTAAATACGAGTCAAATTAAAGAAAATTCATCCGTATGTAAAACTACAATTGAAAATTCTGTTATAAATTAGAAAATGAGCTCACTCGTTGAACAATTTTATATACAGAAGTCTCAACTTATTTAGGCAGACCTTTCATTATTTGGGATCATCCTGTTGAATTATCATGCCAAGATTATGTTCAAACTATCTCGTATAGAAACCACATGCAACTTTCTTCTTCCACTTTCACTTTCTTCAACGAATTCATTTCTATCTCAGTGAAAAAAGATCAAGAAAGGTAGATTTTGATCATAACCCAGAACAGTAAGCACCATAAATTTTAACTTGGTATTCACAAGAAATGAGTAATTACCAGAAACAGACGAATTCCATTGATTTTTCACTCATACATACATACATACATGAACTTGTTAATCAATGAAAATCGTGAGAGAATTTCTTTTCTTTTTTCCCTTCTTTTGCTGGCACGTGGTGATGGTACATTAAAATAAATGAATATTATATTTCCTTGACAGGGGCTTGCGTGATGAACGCTTCAGTCAACCACATTAAAACCAGGCTTTAAATTCTTCAACAAGAGAGGAGAAGGTTGAAGAAGTTTTGCCCTTTATATTTCCTCTGGTTTTTGGTGTTCCTAAGAGGGAAAAGTAAAAAGGCAAAGCTTTCAGCCATGCCTGCCGGGGGTTTAGCTCCGACCGGGGTGGCCAAGGAGAGAGCCGAGCTGTATCAAGGAAGGGTCACTTTGTATGTGATTATTGCTTGCATTGTTGCAGCTGTTGGAGGATCAATTTTTGGATATGACATTGGAATTTCAGGTATTTTCTCTCTTTCTGCAAAAAGATGAGAAAATTTGTTTAGATTGTTGTTCCATCATGTTTTCAATCAGATTTTGCGTCTTTTTGGCTGAAAATGGGACCAGAATTGTTCTGTTTCACTCGGTTTGAGTTCAATGAGGGATTCAATTTAGTTACTTTAGGTATCAAACAATGATCGGTCAATGAACATAAAGGTTCATGCATGACAAAAGTATACCAGAAAGGGTATTTTGCATGAGAATTTGCTTTGCCTGAAAAGTTCATTGACAATCAAAAAAAGGGTTATGGAATTTTGTGTTACTGATGTACTTTTCGACTTTATAACGATGATTCGCAGGCGGTGTGACATCGATGGATGGATTTCTTCGGGAATTCTTCCATTCGATGTACATAAGCAAGCAGCATGCACATGAAAACAACTACTGCAAGTATGACAACCAAGTGCTCGCGGCATTTACCTCTTCGTTATACTTTGCCGGTCTAGTTGCATCCTTGGTGGCATCTCCTGTGACTAGAAAGTATGGCCGTCGTGCGAGTATAGTTTGTGGGGGACTCAGCTTTCTTGTTGGGGCAAGTACCAATGCCGGAGCTCAAAATCTGGCAATGCTCCTCTTCGGTCGAATCATGCTCGGTGTTGGGATAGGATTCGGAAACCAGGTAATGGCCTTGTTTCATCTTCCTGTAATAAACTTATTCGGATTTCAATAATGGACAAATTTTCCCTTTTCCATATTGCTTTGAAGCATTGGAGTATTTCATTTACTTCTGGTCACGGGCAATGACTGAGGTTTAGCATTTCATTTAGCCATATAATATAGTTTGGTAGATATTTCTGAGTCTTTCTTTTTCCATGCTTATTGTGAAGGCTGTACCGTTATATCTGTCAGAAATGGCACCGACTCATCTTCGAGGAGCCCTCAACATGATGTTTCAAGTAGCAACCACACTAGGAATCTTTACGGCGAACATGGTAAATTATGGAACACAAAAGCTTGAACCATGGGGATGGAGGCTGTCTCTGGGCCTAGCAGCAATACCAGCCCTTTTAATGACAGTGGGAGGGTGCCTTCTTCCCGAGACACCGAACAGCTTAATTGAAAGGGGATCAAAAGTGCAAGGCCGAAAGGTCCTGGAGAGATTAGAGGCACTGATAAAGTCGATGCTGAGTTCGAAGACATGGTAGACGCTAGCGAGTTAGCAAATTCAATCAAGCATCCCTTCAGAAACATCCTTAAGAAAAGGAACAGGCCGCAACTAGTGATGGCGATCTGCATGCCGGCATTTCAGATCTTAACAGGGATAAACTCAATCCTGTTTTACGCTCCAGTGTTGTTCCAAAGCATGGGATTCGGAGGAAATGCTTCACTCTACTCTTCAGCTCTCACTGGAGCAGTTCTTGCCGGATCAACATTCATTTCCATCGCCTTAGTTGATCGATTAGGTCGACGAGCCTTACTCATCAGTGGGGGAATACAAATGATTATATGTCAGGTTATAGTTGCCATAATCTTGGGGTTGAAATTTGGGAACAACCAGGAACTATCAAAAGGCTACTCAATATTGGTTGTGACTGTAATATGTCTCTTTGTTTTAGCATTTGGTTGGTCATGGGGCCCATTAGGGTGGACCGTACCCAGTGAGATATTCCCACTGGAAACAAGGTCTGCAGGGCAAAGCATCACAGTTGCTGTTAATCTTCTCTTTACTTTCATCATAGCTCAGTGTTTCCTCGCAATGCTTTGTCATTTAAAGTTCGGGATCTTCTTGTTCTTTGCCGGATGGATCACCGTGATGACGGTCTTCGTTTACTTTTTCTTGCCTGAAACCAAAGGAGTTCCCATTGAAGAAATGATATTTCTGTGGAGAAAACATTGGTTCTGGAAAAAGATTATCCCTGAATATCCCGAACTCGAAGATCAGACTGTTTAGAAATACAAAAGAAGATATTCCTATGATTACTTGTTTGTAATGTTTTGTTACATTTTTGTAATGCTTTGCGTTGTATCTTAAATAGACTTGTTGAAGAGCAGATTACTAGATAATATCATATTCAACATCCGACTCTTAAACAAGTCTAATTATAAATCTACATATATATTTTTCTTTTATCTGTTACTCGAAATACTTGGTGGATACATTTTAGCTGAATCAGAAGCTAGATTGTCAGAAGATAACACACTTGAGATGTCATGGATTTAAAATTTATATTTCCTTTACAAAGCATGATTATATACATTTTAGCTGAATGAGAAGCTAGATTGTCAGAAGATAACATACAATTTTGCAGCCTCGTTGAAAGTGTTGGTTTCAATAAATTGATTTTTATCTGGTGTAATCAATGAGGACGTGCCAAAAGGGGACTATTATCCTCTATTTGAGAGTTAATTTCAGAAGGAAATTGCTGAAGTTGTCCACTGTTAGACAACTCTTCCCAGCCTTTGATATCCTGTTGCAAGCGAGTTGCACACAGGACCACATGGTCGAGCACTACCGGATCATCTGGAGGATTAGCAGAAGACTAAGCAAGGTTTGTCTATAAATTTGAGCTGCTAATAGCGGCCTTGCAACATGCCTGTTTTTATATTCATTGCTACTTTGATGACATGCTTACAGAGATTTCCCAGGCTTGACCAGCCGCAATCACAGAGAGAAAATTCTGAACCAGGATTCCAAATTGTATAAGCCAGGTTTCGGTCTGTTTGGGAGATGACTTTTGCAAGCTGGAGATTCTGCTCATCCAGTATCACATCGACGTCCGGTATGTGTAAGGCGTGATACCAAGCATTGCTCAAGAAAGATTCATCTCTTAGATTGGAAAGATATCCGGTTTCTGCACTGTATTGATCTAACCAATATAATGAGTGAAATTCAGTAGTCAAAGTATGGATTAACCAGTCGATTCTAGGCCAGAAATTGGAATGTTGATCCTTAAAAAGTTTGTGATTCAGTCTTCTGTGATAAGATTCAATGGCAGCATGGGGCTCTGGACCAGCAACAGGAAGTGACCTTATGCAACTAACCCACGACTCTGCAAGACAAAAAAATTATGTTTTCAGAAATTTTAAAACATAAAACATCATCCTACGTTTATCAGCAATTAAAGACATTGCTAGAAACACAGTATGATATTCACGCATAAGCAGCAGAAAAGAGAATAGCAACAGAATAAAAGCTAACAACCAATTGACACTCACCTATATACGATGACCAACAGCGCTTGAAATAATCCAGAAAAGCAGATTGATCAACAAATATTTCCATGAATTCTTCAACCGCATCCATTTCATTAGGTACACTTCTTGAGGAATATAATATCCAGCCCAAGTGCTTAAACATCTCTTGTTGAACATCAATGTTGCAGCACTTCTTTAAAAGATTCCTTATCCAAGCACGGCGAACATGCCAGGCACACAATAGAACCCGGCACTGGAAAGCATCTCTGCAGGTAAGCAACTTAGATTTCACATTCCTCCTATAAAATCAAAAATTTTCAAATAATTCAGAAACACCGTATCAGAATTTACCTTATGACTGAAAACCCAAAAGAAGGATCATCTACTAAAAAGGCATTGGGTCTCCATCTATAGACCTTTGCGCTTATTCTCTCAGCAAGGGAGCCCACCCATTTATGAATATCTTGACCAGCCAAAGAGGAGGTAATCACCCAAGCAACAGAAATTGCATTTCGGGATGAGTCAAACACAAGTAAAGTGGATAGAGGATACTGCCAATGAAGGGAATTTTCATCCAGTGTAAGGTCCTATCATTTCAAACCACGATAAAGATAATTGAGCTCAAAATTTGATAACAGAATAGACTCATGCATCCTTAAGTTTAAGCCTATGTTTCTTTAGGTATTTGTGCCCAAAACTTCCGGACAAAGGTATCGAGCTTTGTCCCTCCAAATAGGTAGAAAACCTAGAAAAAATCTGAGTGTACCCCTGTCATGCTCATACGCTTATTTAACACTCATCCCAAATCTAAGTAAACATAGGTTTAAGGAATAATGACTTTCCACATAACTTGTCTACACTGACCAGTTTCCAACAAATATATTTGCAATAATAGATGCGTAAAAAAACAGAAAACTAAAACAACACAGAAAAAATCTGAAATTATCATCTTTAGGTACCATTGCCTTATTTAGCACCTTGTATATGCTAATATCATTACTATATCCTACCATTGGTATTTCTTTACATTTGAAAACAACCGGTTTTGGTTTCTTCGGTGTTTTCCTCAGTTTCAAGAGTAAGGTATTCTTATTTCTTAATTACAGGTTCTCTGGGAATTATAGATACAGAGTATAGAGGCTCATCTTAAGCTTTCCTACTCTATAAAATGCACAGGGGAGCGTGCACACACACACATATATGATTTTTGTCAATGGTTTACGAGTTATTTTAAGTCAATTTTGTGGTATCATATTCTAAATTTCAAGTCCTTGTATTACAACCCTGTAAATAAACATGAAGAAACCTCCAACAAATAGAGAATTTGACACAGGAGTTTTACTATTATTATTCTATTTTATTATTTGTCTTATTTATATTAGTTATCAGACAAATAAATAAACTAGTATAAATAAGCTGCAAACTATCTCTACAGGCAACAACATTACTATTTTCTCTCAAGTAAATAGACAGAAACTTGAGGTTCTTACAACCCTACATTCTAAGGTTCTAACTTCTATCTTACACGTTTCAGCTTAATTTCTTTCAACGGCTGTTTTCTCTATAAACAACACCAGAAACAGCTTATGGCAATTTTACCAGCTGTTATGTTATATTTGTCATTTGGTATTTTGTCAAACAGCAATAATCCTAGGTGTAAAACATAAGGAAATCCATGGAGCTATGATCTCTCTCTTCTTTTCTCAAAAGTTCACTTCTGTTTCAGACTGGCAGGCTTATTTGAATCATTCTCTTTAAACACACGCATACATGTGTGTAGAAATTATAAACAAAAGTGTACCTTAAGTTTCTTTGAGCCAAAGGTAGAATGAGAAGCTATAGAACCATTATGTCCATAGCAAAGCATCTGTTGCAGCTGCCAATCTGTCTGTATCCCCAAAATAAAGGGTTCTAAAGCAGAAGCATCTTGGAAGCAGAAAACATGCTTTTGATGCCTTTGTACCCATATCTTTGCACTGCATGCATCATCAATGTGAAGTTCATGTGATGTATTACGAATAACTCTCTCCATGTTACGAACATCATTTCGTGTGAGAAAATCATCTCGGTTGTGTGGGCCCCATGCCCTTGGACCACCTCTGCATGATGCTGAATTATGTTGTCCAAAGATGTTCCAACATAAAGTATGGACATCACTTTCTGGCGCAATTCCTCTGAGATTCGTGGAGCATACATATCTCTTGTGCCCACAGCATCCTGATCAAGTATCCCATGACAAGGGGCCCCTGTTTTATCTACATGCTTTCTTTGATTATAAATTATAAGGGCAAGGAGAGGACATGTGTACAGGCGTTTTACAGTGAAGTGACAAAGGCAACCTCTCATCATGTGGCGTTTCCCTGGCCTGCTTCCCTTTCCCGTTGCGGGTTTGAAGTTTGAGCCATCTCCAAGACCAGATTCACAATCACGGTAATCTTCAGGACCATAAGAACACCAGTATCTGCAAAATCACCATACTAGCTTTGATGTTACTTAATGTACATAAAGATGAGCTATTAACATAGAAAAAAGCATTACTGCAAGAAAATATGTGGTAGAACGTACTTGCACAGACACGCATGCTCGTATAAAACATGATGCACTACAATAATGTTACTACCAAAAGTTTAGCAAACATGACTGAGATGGCTAGCCTTGAATGAAAATATTCACACTCCCATAGATAAGAACATGTTTTTCACATCTGCTGATTTTATGATGAGAATTGAAGACTACTTCGAAGAACTACTATCATAACAACAAATCAAGAAGTATCATATATAAACCGGTTTTCATTAGGCAAAGAGTTTAAAAAAGAAAAAAGAACTACATAGTAAACTGTAACATCCCAATTTAGGGGTTATGTTTTTTATAGATTAAATATGAAGTTGGTTGAAAAATAATTGTTTTATTAGACCATTATTTTATTAAATAAATGGAGGATAATGAATTAGGTTGAAGTGGACAAATTGTTGGGTGTGATGGGATTAAATTATGATAATGGCATTGCTGTAATCCATTGTTTCCAGCTTTCATTTTCGGCTAGTATCCATCATTGTTTCCAGCAGAATGGTCCAAATGAAATTATATATACAAAATAATATAGTGTTGGATGATGATTGCAGTGGTTGAGTAACCTCATATCATTGCTCAATATTTAATCATTTTATGGGGATTATCTGTTGGTGGGTTCAAGGAATGGAAGCAGACACTGCAACCGCTTCATCTCTGCAGCTTTCCTCAACTGCCACTTATGGAAGTTTACATACCATTGATTTTGTGTTTTTGGGTTTCCGAATATGACCATGGTTCCTACTGAAAACCTTCCTCACGGCGGCGGCAAATTTTATGGTTTTTGTGGCGGCGACAGTATATACACGGAGAGTTTTGGGCATATGACTCGTTTTCGTGGTGGGTATGATTTTCACACCGAAGCTTGCTTAGGAATAGGATCTAATTTAGAAGTTAACCGCATGGATAAAGATGAATCGAGAACTAATAGCGTTAATGAGGTGGGCTCCAACTCCAAGGATAAAGCCATCACCGAGGAAGAGCCGGCGAGGGTCGAGGTTTCGTAGCTCACAGTATCGTGGCGTCATATTTTACCGGAGAACTGGCCGGTGGGAATCACCTATATGGGGTTGTGGGAAACAAGTATATTTAGGAGGAATTGACACTACCATGCTGCCGCCAGAGTACATGATTGAGCTGCAATCAAGTTCCGGGGAGTTGATACGATATCAACTTCAATTTGAGTGATTACAACAAAGACAAGAGACAGACGAAGGCTTAATGAAAGATTGAAATAAGGAATAAGGAAATGATACGTGGGAGAAGGAAGTGAGAAAAGAGATGGACGATGCAATCACTTGAGCAAAGGAAAGTCCAATGTCTGAGCCTTCAAAACTGAAAGGATGAAGGAGCAAATCACGTGGGTTATGTGGCAATGCCCCACACACCAATTACTTGCCAAATGGAGTTATGATTCCCAAAGGAATATCACGTGGGTGGTGTTTTAAAAAGAAAGTGGAAAATTTCATCATGAGTACTTGGTAAGAATTTGACTTTGTCTCATACTTTCCTTTAGTTTTAGTTTATGGCTCAATAATGTAAATTAATTCGGTTCAGTCCCTAATTTTAGTGATTAATTATTATAGTAACGCCACAAGTATTCTATTATACTAATTGGGTTTCCAAATTATTATTTCAATTCTAATAAGCTATCTTTATGGCGAGGAAAATTATTTGGATATGAGATAGTAATTTTGATGGTCTGGATCGAGAGGAAAATATTGGAAGTTGAATCAAAGATCGAGGACTTCGAATGGAATTTAAATGGTCGACCAGTATGGCACAAAAATCGAGATAGTATTTTACTACCTCTTTATGCTTTATGGAACATGTGAATATTGATAAATGCATGATTAAGATAATGTTGGTCTCATTTGTGTAGTTAATTAATTTCTACACTCGATCTGAATACGGTAAAAAGGTTCAATAATTGATTATGGTTCAGATGACTTTTATAAGAAATTGAGGGATTGTTAGAATTAAATTACAAGTTACGTGCTCAATGATAAAGAAATCAACCTGGATCTGTAACTTATAATTTATTTCATCAAATGTTAAATGTTAAAGGTACTTGGATGAGAAATTATGAGAATACTCGAGTAAGGTAAAATTAAGAAAATACCTTATGTTATAAAAATACAAGATTTAACTATGGAAGTTGGATAAGAGGTTTTTAAAAACATATTGATCTGATAAAACTACTGATGTGCATAAGAAAGGCTAGTTTTGCTTAGAAAATATAAATAACTGATTTTTAACCCAAGAGGATTTGAGCAAGAATCTAGGAGTCTGTTAAGGGAATCATTTCAAGATCAGAGAATATTCGGGAAAGTAATTAATCATAGGATCTCTAAATTATATTATTTGGTTAAGAGTTAATACCGAAATTATCTGGTTAAGAAATTACGAAAATGCCTTTGAGAGGTAAAATAGTCCGAGTTGACCCTGAATGAGAAAATACTTTGAGGATTCGTACTTAACTCGATTAAGTACGAATTTGATTGTTAAGATCCTAACTTAGTGTAGAAAAAATACTGATATTTTGTTTGTAGAATCTGAGAAGGCACTTGACCAGAAAATATCCGAGTTATGAGTAAAAACCTGAAGAACAATTTATCGGGGGTGTTCTTTTGACAGAATTGTTCGAAATGACTGAAATAAGTGATAGGTTTGAATTCGATAATAAGATCAGACGCAAGGAAATGATTGTAATACATTGGATATGTAAAATAACCAAAATACCCTTAGAATGCAAATGACTAAGAATATCACCAAGCTCAGGAATGATTGGATATCCTCGAGCTCTGAAATGAATGGAATATAACTGAACACCAAAATGAACAAAATACCCTTATGGCCTAGAATAAGTAAATGTCTTGGATTAATTTAGAAATCCAAATAAACACGGATGTTGTACTGCTATTAAAAGTTATGGAACGCAGCTTAAGTGGTCAACCAATGCTAGTGCTATATCATTATCAGAATGATATAAGTATCACTTGAATGTTGGTTCGTCTCATTAAGTTTGGATTGATGATAATTTTGGAAGTAACCAGCTCAGCTCAACTTTGGATCGCATTCGGTACTCAGAAGTGAATATTCGTTAGAAAAATCAACCAAGAAGACCAAATTGAATTGAACGGAAGTACAATACTTATCCGAAATTCAAAAACATCCGAATTACTCTGAAAAACTCTGAAGTAACTGAGATACACTTGACTGTTAAATAAATTAAGTAACCTCAATGACTGAGGATTTAGTAAGTGATTTTGATAAGTCTGGAAACTCTGATGAGTTTACATAGTGTACAATTACGATGGGTTATGAACAAAATAATCAAGTACGTTAGCATTACATGATATTGTGGAAGCATGGAAATGAAATAAAGACACTGGAAGATCTATTCAACGATGATTCCGAAAATGATCTATGGACAAGAATTTGTGGTATTAAAGAGTAAATACTCTGGAAGAATAATGAATTGACCAATCGACAAGCATTAGTTCTGGGAACTATTCATCTAAGAGTTGTTCGATAATCTGATCAATCGACATAGGCTGTAAATGTCCTGAACCTTCATTTCTTCCTTATCAGCTCAAGTCACATTCTGAACAACTGATGATTCCATCAGTTATTGAACTCTTCCAATAGTGATTCTAAATTCCAACATTCTATCGACATATTGAAGATCTATGTTTTTCTGCTTGATAAGATTATCCAGTACCTCTGAATAATATCTGTAAACTCTGGTGTGTTCCCTAATCATATAAATATTTTATATGATTTCCGACTTGAATTCTGTTCTGATACATTACCTGAATTCTGTTATGATTTCTGATCTGGATTTTGTTCTGATATCTAATATGAATTCTGTTTTGATTTCTGATATCTCCGTTTACCGATAGAGAAATGTTTTATCTGGGGGGTTTATTGTTGGAGGAAGATTATCTGCAGACTCCTCGGCTTTGTGCTCAGAGTCTAAATGGCATGTGCGGTTGGGTGTATGGCTCTGGGGAACCTACACATTTATGATGTGAACGGATGGGGGTATATATATATATATGTTTTTTTTAAATCTATATATTTTTACATGGTTTTGTGAGAACACACTAGAAAACCTATTCTGATCTCCTGAACCTAAACATCCTAAATATTTTCCATCTAAACTGAATATTATCTGAAATATCAATGGGACTTCAGCTCAGCATAAAGATCTGTAAATATCTGGACCAATAAGGAAATATATGTTTATTTGTATCTGCACGTTCTTCAGCATCATCTGGTAGTTTTGTATTACTGAGCTTTCCGAAGCTCACTCTGTTACTCACCTTTTCAGGTTAAAAGAATTGTATCAATGAAGTTATCGACATCAGTAAAGGAGTTCTTTCGGCGTTGTTTGCAGAGTATGGTACATGTGATTAGGGGGAATGTAATTGTATTTTGTTTTATATACGAGTTTGAAAATCTGTTTTATTTCTGAATACTGATAAATGATTTATGAGTTACATGTTTAAGAAGTTTTAAATTTTCTGTTATTTTTATGGTGGGTCGCTCCGATGACCCTAATGTGACACTCCATATCGGATTGGGTTACCCGAATCGGTCTGAGGGGGTTACATTAAGTGGTATCAGAGCTATGGGTTGAGTCAAAATTTTCAAGTTAGATCGACCGGTCGAATTTCAAAAGATGTATGATTAGTACATGCCCCTAAACTACAATCGTACCTCTCTGAGCTGGAGCTCTAAGGTTGAGTTCCTATTTGTAATGAGCAAACCTAAGTTTTCATCTGTTAAGACTCTATTGTTTTATACAGTATACAGTGAAGACTTCCTGAAAAAGAGAATCACTTTAAGTAGCTGTTGATTTCTATCAGATTTTTCTCATCATTTTTTTCTCTCATGGGTATTATCAGTAAGTTATTTCAAAGGAACATAAAATCAAGCAGTCTTGTTTACTAAATGGAGTTCCATTTGCATCATACAGCGTATACTTGAGATATCTATCAACCCTTGGTTTGGTAATACTTCATTCAGATTTCTTCCTCCTCGACTCAATGCGGAAGCTAGCAGGACATTCTTCATTAGACGACTCCCTTTTACAAAATCATCTACTCTAGAAAAAGGGACTAGAGAAATATCATCACCGCTTTGGCGACCACCTTCTACTTTTACCCATGTCATGTGAGCAGCAGAGAATTTTGTGCAAGGAGGATCTTGCATCGGAAGGTTAAGGATATCCTCCATTCTTGCCATCTAAATAGAATATCTCATATAATTTAAATTTGTGAATTAATCCTTATATTTTAGTATTTAATGTATGTATTTTACGGGTTTACCCCTTGATGTTGCAATTGATAACGTGATAATAAAATGTCAATAGAAAGGCGATACTTGCACAAATCACTGTATTAAAGTTATATCGTGGTCATAATTCATTGAGTGATCTTAATAATAAAAATGAAGTTATTTTTTTATAAGTTTTAGGTATGAGCAATATATATGTAGAATGTGTATACGTTTATTTTCAATGTCTAAAAAGATTATGAATAAATATTATCTCATAATCACCTCAAACTAATTAAAAAAATAATATGGATATTTAATGTTCTAGTCCCATTACATTTCATCATCACTGGTATGAGTTGTAAGCCATGGATTCTGAAAACCCCAAAACCTTTAAAACCCAAGCTGAAACACCTCATTCATCAACCAACATAGTTCATAAAGTGAAAAGAAACTTATCTTTTAAATCCATATGGGCAGAATCGAATGGCGCCATGGCGAGACTTGGGCACCTGTAGCCAAGGACCTTAACCTAGGCACCACATTGATATTCATTGGTGTTTACAACATTGTCATCAGTGCCATATATTGTGTTCCAATGTCTGTCCAACCCATAAAATCGATTGTCGCAGTGGCTATATCTCAATTTTACTGGTTTCGAGTGTTACAGGGTTGACATAGATGGTGTACAGATTGATACCTTTGTCTGTTGTTAGGGGAATTCAACTGTTCCAAGGCTTATCATCTGTTATGAGTGGTGTGAAGTACAGTAGAAAGGTTCAGGATCTTTCAAAGTCGAAATCTATGGGGAATAGGCAGTGGTTGGATTGATTTTGGCCCTTTTTTGTGCTTGTTTCGTATCTGGTGTCAATGGCGCAGGTCAATAAAGTAACAGGAGTGAGGTAAATGTTGATGAAGAAAGAAGTATTAGAAAAAAAGAATGAGGAAAATCATGGTTACCATCCTTTCAGCTTTCATCGTTTTAAAAAAAATCATAACTAAGTCACTTCGACTAATTGATTGCAATAATTAGATGATTCTACCGTTAAAATCTCAAATATAAATTTTTTTATTATTAGCTCAAATAGACATTATTTTTTGTTTTAGAAGATGACTCAAATAGACATTAATTTTTTTAATTAAGTTAAAAGTGATTATAAAGTAATATCTAATTAATTTTGTTACAAATGAATTATTTGGGTTTCAAGATTCTTGAATATCGAGGGCTCCATTAAACGATCTAAACAGTTAAGTCTTTTACACAAGTGAGAAGAAGAATATATTGTGAGGTCATCTTATGATGTATGATATAAACAGATGTTTAAGAAATTTGTATGTTTTGAGGATGATTTCATGGCTTTTGAGATAGATTATTGAGAACTTAATTTGATTAATCAAATGAGGAGATTGAGATGAATCTTATAATGAAATTTGTGGTTTATCAACCACCATAAACGACTAGATTTTATATTGCATATGACTTGATTGTTACAATTGATTAATGACATGCTAATTTAATTTAAAATATTTGTATTTTTCATTATTATTACATATCATACTGCTTTTTTGTTTAACGGCAATGATCTGATTATTACAATCGACTAATTGAGGGATTTGATTTTTTTTTAATTTTAGTGACCAAATCATTCATTCATTACATTAATCTTGAAAAAATCGAGTTTGAAAAATGTCGAGGATTTTAGACCAATAAGCCTTGTGGGTGGACTTTATAAGATCTAGTCAAAGGTGTTATCCAGAAGATTAAGACAATGTATGGATGCAGTAGTTGGCCTTTCACAATTTGCTTTCATTCTGGGTCGGCAAATCACGGATTGTTCCTTTATCGCGAATGAGGGGATCGACTGTTGGAGGAGGAAAGGTCTTCAAGGAGTAGCGTTTAAGGTTGACTTCAAGAGAGCGTATGATTCATTAGAATTTGCTATTGAAATTAGTAGATTGCATGGGGTTTGGTCAGAGATGGAGATCTTGGATGAAAATGTGCGTTTCTACGGCTTCCATTTTGGTGTTGGTGAATGGCTCTCCTTCAGATAAATTTCGGATTGCGATGGGTCTTCGTCAGGGTTGCCCTCTTTCCCCGCTCCTTTTCAATTTGGTTGTTGAACTATTGAGCTTGATGTTGTTGATGTCGAAACGATTTTTAAAGTGTGGGGAGCGTGGGGGCAAGATTTGGAAAACCACATCATTTTTAATTATTCTCTTTACGATTGAATTTTTAATTAAAAACAATGTGATTTTAGAAAACTCTCGTTTCGAAAAAAAATTGAAAATTCCTTTACGATAAAAAAACATATGGTTCGAGGAGTCGCCACCAATATTTGATTAGGGTGTGATTGGGAACCCAAAAAAACGTTTTTTCATTTTAAATAAAAATTAATTTTAATTAAAACAACAAATTGGAGTTTGTATTACCAGAAAATGAGTTCGGGAGTCGATTACACATGGTAAAGGATTAGCACCCCCACAACGCCCTAAATCGGTACCTAATCGATTAATTAACGTCTTTTCAATGAATTTTACAATTTCAATTTTAATTTAATTTTTGATCCCTTAAAACAACAAGAATGTGAATTTTATAACATTCAAAAGCAACGAAATATGTTAAATTAAAATTACCAAGTCATTAGAAAGATAAAGAATATTCGATTATTTAAAAATATTGAGACTAGATCTTTAGGTCAGTTCTAACGACCTTTTCTCAACAAATTTAAATAGTCGAACATTTCTTTTTCTTTCTCTCCCAAATTTTAAAGTAAAGAATCAAAATTTTTTAGTGACAAAGACGGGGTTAGATCAAGTTATGCACGTGAAGCTATCATACATATTATGCAACATGATGTTAATGCAAAAATTAATTAAACAAATATTATGATTAAAATATCATGCAATGTTATTTTACTACCAACAATTATATACATATTTTATTTTCACGTGTTATACCATATATATATATATATATATATATATATATATTAATATATAATACATCAATGTTACTAAAATAAATAAAAGGAAACATAACACTTAAAAATGTAAAGTTAATGTCGAAACGATTTTTCTTAAAGGTGAAATTTTAAAAACCGCATTAATTATTAATTTACCTCTTTCAATTGATTTTTAATTTAAAAACAAATGCGATTTAAAAAAACCTCTCGTTTCGAAAAATTTTAGATTTCCTTTATGATAAAAAAAATGGTTCGAAGAGTCGCCACCAATCCTTGATTAGGGTGTGATTGGGCACCCAAAAATGTTTTGTCATTTTAAATAAAAATTACTTTTAATTAAAACAACAAATTGAGGTATGCGTTACCAAAAAATGAGTTCGGGAGTCGGTTACGTGTGGGGAAGGATTAGCACCCCCACAACGCCCTAAATCGGTACCTAGTCGATTAATTAATGTGTTTGCAATGAACTTTAGAAATTCGAACTTAATTTGACTTTTGATCCCATAAAACAAAGATGTAAATTTGAAAACATTCAAAAGCACTCAAATAAATTAAATTGAAATTACCAAGTCGTTTTAGAAAGATAAAGAATGTTCGATTATTTACAAATATCGAGACCAGATCTTAAAAGTTATAACAACATTTTCTCGATAAATTTAAATAAACGAACATTTCCTTTTCTTTCGTTCCCAAATTTTAGGTGACAAATCAAATTTTTGGTTTCACTTTTGGGATACACTTTTAATTTAAAATCGTCGAAACGGCTCTCTAATCAGTTAAGACAAGCACTCAAGACAATTTAAATTAAAAGGGTATTACCCTTAGTCTGATTATGTATTTATAAGTCGAGTTATGCGCATGAGGGCATCATACAAATTATGCAAAAAGGATGTCATGCAAAAATTAATTAAACAAATATTATGATTAAAAATATCATGCAAGTTGTGCAAAATGATGCATGCAGTTCGTAAATACATATGCAAAATATATAAACCATATGCACAAAGATCCCAACAAGAATGTCTGTAGAAAGATGATATGTTGCTTTCATCAATGTAAATATGAAACTTTGCATGGCAAGCAAGGAAATCAGAACACAAAGTGTCAACTAATACTTTATTATCGCATACTAAGAATGACCGAGGAGAGAAAAAAAATTAAGCTGTTACTTTTTAGTAACTAGCAATATATATATATATATATATATATATATAAAGAGAGATAGTAAGAGAGAAATAGAACCAAGCCCAAACCAACTCAGTATGAGAGTCCTGACATGTTTCCATACCAAAAGAGTGACCCAAATGTTATGGTTTATGAACGAGATTCCACAATAGCAGACTCCATGATAGCTAGTTCCCATTTCCCAAGCATTGTTTCCTCCAAAGACTAGAATAGACGATGAAAAGCTGTACTTTTTAAACCTCATTATCCTGCCTCAGCTCTTACTTTCATTCTTGTTCATAGACCCGTCAGCTCCAGTGTATTTTTACTCGAGTAATACTCTTTGAAGAAATAACAGTTCAAAAGCCTAGACACAGTCACCTCCCTAGTCCCAATACATAGACTCTTTGACTGAAAGCTTAACAAAGCTATCCTAGTAACACTGACTCATTAAGGTTTTATTAGATTCTCTAGAGTTGAACCCATATGCATAATGAGACTCAGAAAAACGCAAGGTGGGGAAGAAAAGAACACAGGATCAAAACAAAATGCGTTTATATAAGACAAATCATGCACATTTTTTAACAGTGAAAGAATATAGTAGAACATGTTTTCAAGCCAGTATTTTACAAGTTGGTAAAGAGTGCTTGAAGTGTTTTACTGGACTAACAAAAACCCGGGAGGGATAAAGAATATAATATGAACAGATTTCATAATTTCCCAGCCTTATGTGGTTACAAGCGTATACATCA